TTAAGATCAAGGAAAGGATGGTTTCAATATGATAAAAGGTTGTTTCAAGAGCAAGGTTTTGAGGAAAATATTAATCAAGTTTGGCGCCACACAGATACTTTGACGGGATGGAATGAAAAATTGGCTTACTGCTGTGGTGAGGTGATTAGATGGAAAAGGAGAAATCGTACAAATTCTACACTGTTTGTATAACGATGACGTAACAATTCAAAACTGAAAAGCGCGTTTCTAAGCTGGCTCCGCGCGTTAACGACTGTGAGCATGTTGGGGTTTGTTTCTTTCTTTTGTTTGTTTCTGTAAAACTGATATACATATGTAATCATTTACATTGAATGTGATCGTAAAATATTCCTCTTGTAGAAGTTAATTTTTGATTCTTTATCATGGAAACTCGTGTAGACTTGAGGATGATTTTCATTTTAAAATGCACCGTCTCTGGATTGGCTGATCGAATAATGGGTATATTATCCGATAGTCTAATCTATTTATGATCCAGGAGATTAGAGATAAAATTGATGCTGCCCTAAGAAACAGTGATATCTATCGAACAGATTAATGACTACCGTAAGGAACTTAACTAAGCATACCGGGATGAGGAAGAGTTTTGGAGACTAAAGAGTCGTAATAGGTGGCTGAATTTAGGGGATCGTAACTCCAGATTTTACCATGGTCTGACTAAAGCCAGAAGGAGTTATCATTTGATTAAAGGATTGTTTGATCAGAACGTCATTTTCCATACAAAAGATGAGGCGATAGCACAAATAGTGGAGGACTACTTCCAACAGATGTTTCTCTCATCCAATTCTATGGTGGGAAATGATATCATACCACATCTTTGTTGGAAAGTTACTCCTGAGATGAATCAGTTGTTGTTGAGTGAGGTTACTGATGTAGAGATCAAAGAGACAATGTTTCTGATCGGTTCTGATCGTGCTTCTGGTCCGGACGGTTTTACAGCCTCCTTCTACCAACAATTCTGGAATGCTATTGGTCAGGATGTATGTATAATGGTTAAGTGGTTCTTTGACACGGGAGTCATGGAGCCTAACATTAATCTTACTAATATCTGTCTCTTACCGAAATTCCCAGGGGCTTCTGAAATGAGTAATTTCCGACCAATAAGCTTATGTACCGTCGCTTACAAAATAATCTCTAAGATTATGTGTCAGCGACTGCAATCCTGTTTGAATGAGATAATATCGGAGTCCCAAGCTGCCTTTGTACCAGGAAGACAAATTCATGATAATATTTTGGTTGCTCACGAGCTCATCTCTGCTTTGACATCAAAAGAAGATTTCTCTCGACAATATTTGGCAGTAAAAACAGATATTAGTAAAGCTTATGATCGAGTTGAATGGTCATTTCTCGAAGCAACTAGGATCCAGTTGGGTTTTGATGTTCGATGGGTTAATCTGACTATGGAATGCGTCCGTTCTGTTTCTTACTCGGTTCTTATTAATGGTCTTCCGTATGGAAATTTTAAACCTTCCAGAGGCCTTCGTCAAGGTGATGCTATGTCTCCTTACCTCTTCATCCTTTGCGTGGAAGTTCTAAGTCTAATGTTGGATAGAGCTCAAATACTCAATAAGTTTCAAGGTATGAAACTCGCTCGTCGATGTCCTAGTGTGTCTCATCTTCTGTTCGCCGATGATTCATTATTCTTTGTCAGTGCAAACATGGAGAATGAAGAATGTTTGGCATCCATATTTCAGCAATATGAGCAAATTTCGGGTCAGAAAGTCAATTATGATAAATCTTCAATTATCTTCGGTAAACGTATATCTCCAGAGGTACGTTTTCAGATCCATCAGATTCTGAAAATTCACACAATAGGAGGTGGGGGTAAATACTTGGGGCTTCAAGAGCAATTCAGTAGAAGCAAAGTGTCTGACTTTCAAGGAATCGTCTCAAGTGTTAAGGATCAAATTTCTCCTTGGTATAATCAGTTCTTGTCCCCAGCAGGGAAGGAGGTTCTAATAAAATCAGTACTTCAAGCTAAGCCGGTCTACCCTATGAGCTGCTTTCTGCTACCAAAAACAATATGTGATGAAGTTAACTCTCAGTTATCGGGCTTCTGGTGGGGAAGAAACGATGGGAAACGTAAAATTTCTTGGATCTCTTGGAAAAGGTTGTGTTTACCAAAGAAGGAAGGGGGTATGGGATTCCATGATTTGTATTCATTCAATGTTGCTTTATTGGCAAAACAAGCGTGGAACATTGAGCAACGTCCAAACTCACTTCTGGCTAGAATCTACAAAGGTAGATATCATAACTAGTCGACATTCTTACAGTCGACAAGTTTAAGTAGATCATCTTATGGATGGAAATCCATTCAAGTGGGTAAAGAGTTACTCAAGAAAGGACTGGTTATAAAAATTGGTGATGGTCATTCAACAAAGATTTGGGAAGATCAGTGGCTATTAGAACCCCCGTTTAGAATTACTACTCCATGTCGAGTTCCTGAGATGCGAGTGTCGACACTCATTGACCCTTTATCACATACTTGGAACCAAGCAAAATTGGAAGAACTATTTTGTGAGGCAGACATTATTCAGATCAATAAGATTAGACTATCGAAGTTTAATAAGAATGATCGGTATGTGTGGCCATTCTCTGAGGATTTACAATACTCTGTTAAATCGGGTTATTGGACGGCAACACACATATTCTCTGACTCAGCCGATTTTGCTCCTCCTCAAGGCTCTTTATATATAAAGAAGCAGATATGGGACTTAGATATATTACCTAAGGTTCAACATTTTTTTATGGAAGGTTATCTATGGGGCTCTACCTACTTCGGTACAAATGTGTACTCGTGGCATTAACATTGATCCGATCTGTCAAAGATGTTGTATGGAAGAAGAAAGCACTAATCATGTTCTGTTTTTATGTCCGCACGCATTTGCTATCTGGAGAAGCTCTGGTCTCCCGCTTGAAGATCTTCAACATGATGACCTGGAGCAAAATATCACAGGTTTTTTACTATCTACAAAAGGCAGGACACCCCTTCGCCAATTTGTAAACTTTCTCTCTGGGTAGTCTGGTTTATCTGGAAATCTAAAAATGAGTTTCTGTTTGCAAAAAGAAATGTGATAGAACCGTAATTTATAAACTATGGAAAAAAACTGAATATTGTAAAGAATATAATGATAAAATTATACCAAAGATTAAGAACGGATTATACAACAGCAGAGTCGAGATATTATCTCTTTCCTTAACCCAAAATACGTCTCGTAGTGCGACGGTTCGATAACGTAACGGATCCCAGGATATAACTGCAAAAAATCTTCTAATTTGCGTCACTCTATCAGAAGCCTGGCGAAACTTGTTTTGTTTATACTCTCAGACTCAAAAAAAAAAATCAAGGAGAACAAAAAAAAATATATGAAAGGATTGTCTTTACTCTGAACCTTCAAAGTCACACAAGTATATCCTTTTTAACTTGAAAAAGGTACACGTTATGTAATTAAATGAGAAGACTAACGTACCAATCAATTAGAGTAATGGAATTGATTTCCACGATTTATGTAAGTTAGCTAAAGTAATATCGTGGCTTTGACCAAATCAACAACCATCAATATATTTTTTCTTGGGTTACTAAACTTATATAATCATATAAGAGTATTTAAATAAGTTAATTAACATAATGTCCAATTAACAAATTCAAACCCAAATGTCCAAATTGATGCTAAATGTTTTATATTTAGCCAAATTTAAAGCTTTATAAGCTTTGTATATCACTCACTTTGGACATCCATTTCTCATTCAACACAACTCCGATTTTGACCAAATAATATGCTATCTCACAGTGTTCACAGTGACGATTACATCGTGCCCAAATTCCGGTCTTTTAAACAGACGTCTCCGTCAAAAAACCCATCGGGAAAATGGTCCACACCACATTGTCAAAACCGAGTTCCAACAAAATGTTCATCCTTTAGAAGATGCTCAGCGTGCTCTACAAGGAAACGATGAATGGAACCATAATGTTGTCGCAATCCGGTCGAAATCTCCTCCATTGGTAAAGAGTTCACAATGGGAACCGCCCCCTTCTCTTTGGCTGAAGTGTAATTTCGATAGTAGTTTTTTACATGAGGATAATTCTGCTGGTGTTGGCTGGATAGTTCGCAATGAGTTTGGTGTCTTTGTAAAAGCTGGGATGCTGAAATTATATATTGTCCAGTCTCCTTTACAGGCAGAAGCACTGGCTTTTCTTCATACAACAGATTTGGATTAATGACTGGAGACAAGTCTGGTTTGAAGGCGATAATATTGTACTCACTCGTATTATTAACACTATGGTTAAGGATCATGCTCAGTTAGGCAACGTCTTATCTGATATTCGACACTGGATGTCTTTGTTTGCTTGTTGTTCTTTGGACAGTGTTAATAGAGAACGTAATTCTGCAGCTGACATACTTTCAAAGAAGATCAGACAAGAGAGTGAGGTTGTTTTAAGTTTTAGAGTATTTGCACTCCATACACACACTAAACCTCATAATTCACTACATATCATATTTCTTCCTTTATCTCTTCTCCCCACACATTACTATTTTTCCCACCAAAAATGGCAAATTCCTAATTTTCCATTTTCTTATGGATTTCTACCCAATTCACTCTAAGTTTTAATACTCCTCCTATATAGTTGATGGATTTCTTGTATTGGGCTTATACTCTTTAATGATTAATATAGTTTTCGTTAAAAAAAAAAGATCTGCTTATAGCCAAACTCCTAATCATAGGAATATCATCTGGCGCAACAAATTGCATTTATGGAGTTCGTATTTTATTATCTTATTATTTATAGAATTAGAGTTAAAAATCTAAAAGTTCAACCCGTTTACAGTTCGGTTTAAGTGTTCTTGGTTGGCTTTCTACTCTTTACTGGTTTAGTTTCGTAAGGGAAAGTTAGACCGTATGGTATATAAGTCTATAACCCGGAAATAACCAAACATTCAACTTTGTGTTCAGTTTGGTTCTAATTCAAAATAAAATTCATAAAAACTGCATTCGTATATAACATAGTGAGGATTACATAAATCGATTTTCGCAACAACATTGAAATAGATATATTTTCTCTATAATATATATTTATTAATTAAATAGAAAAAAATTGACAATATCCGGTTAAGTAAACCAGTTCCACAAATAAAGCTCCCTCAGTATTCGTCCAAGAAAGTGTAAAGAGTGTCATCTTTCTTGGTTTTGCGTCGACTAAGCAAAGCCTTAAGCAGTCGCTTGCTCTTACTTGGTTGCTGCTGCTCTGTTTCTTTCTGGTTTTCTTTCTCAAGCCCGACCCTAACCGAAGCCGATCTTCTCGGTTCTGATGGGTACTGAAAAGAAAAACATAACAAGAATCAAGAAATAGACAAACTGATGAAAAAAAAACATGACACTTTGCTTAGTTATGCTTTCATTCTTACCCGTATAGGAGTTATAGATCTGCTCTTGCTTGGTGTCGTAGGCCTGCTGATTGATGCTGACTTCCTGGTAGCCATTGATCCTGATCTTAGTAGCGGAAAACGATGCGGAGACACTGATCTCTTATCTGATTATATCACACACCAAAATAATAAGGATTGTTATTCAAAGAAGAAACAGAGAGCTTTTATGGTTTCTACCTTGTTCTTTCTTCTGAATTGTTGACGTAAACGAAAAGGTTGCTGATCTTTGAGGTGGTTGCCTTGGAGATGAAGTCTGAGATATTGATTTTCTGCGACAACATGGGTTAAGAGACATTACATTTCAAGCTGTTGGTTTTGAGTTTGGAGTTTTTACCTAACTGGTGGTGGAGGAGGAGGCGTTTCCCGAATTGTAGCACGCACAGCTTTAAGAGAAACCAAACCAAATCAAGAAACCAAGTTATGTCCGAACGGAAACAGAGAGAAGATCAACTTACCGTTTCGGAATTGGTTCCAGTCATCTGCATCCTCTAAGCTGCTTCCAAAGTACTTAAGCTTTTCAAGATTAGTAGTCTTTATAGTTTCACCAGCTGGTAAGATGTATCGTTTATGGAACTTTGGAGTTTCAATCACAAGTGATTGCTGTGAACGTCCTTCATGATCCATATACTCTTGGCACATCCTTAGCCTCTGTAACACACCATCCTCATTGATAAAGAGACCAAAAGAAGAAAAATCAATCAGACAAAGAATCTAAAGTGAGGTACTTAATATCTTACCTGTTCGATGCAAGATACTCTTAGTTCAGTCTCTGCTACTTCATCAACCTTCTCATCGATGAAGTCGTTGACTTTATAAGTGATAGAGCCTAGATGGTCAACTGTATTCACCAGAGCCTTCACCGCGTAATCTTTTAGTGTCTCTACAACTCTGCATTCAACACGAGAAAAAAAAAAGAACAGTTTCAGTTATAGAACTTAATCTGAAGCGGTGCTGAATACAAACTCACATCTGTCTTTTATCGTCGGTTGTGTAAGATAGTTCGAAGTACTCAGCTGCTGAATACAACTGCGTTCGCAGATTCCTCAAGTCCTGACAAAGAAAAGAAGCAGAGGCTTAGACCATTTTCATTTCATAGACAGAATGCTACAAACATGACTTAGACTTGAACTCATTATCAATTACAGAATGTAAACCTTAAGACCATCAGAGAAAAGCATGCTTTGCTCCATAGATGCTTCATCGTAGTTTGATGCTTCTCGAGACTCAGGCATTGTAGCACCTGCACTCTTTTCCTTCTCCTCAATCTTAATTCTTGTCTCTGTGGAAAATAAAAGAAGTCATCAATTCTTTATAGCTGTATCTTTCTACATGTACTAGAACACTAGAAAGCAACATTCTCTGAACATCCAAAACTGCTATAATCAGAACAATGTAAGAAGATTTAAGCAATCTATTTGTCTACAAGAAATGTGTGAAGAGAGTAATCTTCCAAGTGGTAAGATAACAAGCAACCAATAAGACAGTGGTGTTTAACCTCAGATTTGATATAGATCTTCTGAGATAAGATTATACATTATGTTGCCATCAAGGAAACAAATGCTAAAGTATAAGATTATTCAATAACAGAACTTTTTACTTTGATCCATTTAACTAATCTTATAAAACAAGAAACAGACAACAAGTAGAATCCATAACTTAGCTCTCTAAAAGCAACCAAACAGTTTGATCTGAAGCAAAAGGATCTTCTTTTGAATCTTTTATTAAAACAAATAAATAAATAAATAAAAAGAGAAACTTTTGTGAGAATGTGCACTTGTTTTATGGGAAAGAAACACACTTCACCACTAATACACACTAAAACCCTCAAGAACACTAAAAAGTTTTCAACTTGTTGTACCATGAGAGCTAGAATTAACAAAACCCAATTCAAATCCTAAGCAAGTCGATAACTTTTACTGAACACAGCAGACAAAAAGTTTCGAGCTTTCAAGTGTGGAGAGTGGAAGCAAACCTGCAAAATGTGATGTGTACAATGAAACACCTCTCTCACGCTTGTTCCTTTCTAGTGTTTCTGGTCGAAGAACAGATCCAAGCCAATGAAGGTTTTGAAGACCGTTGAACACGCGGAACGAAGTGTGGGTGCAGTGTTCTAGTGAATGGGTGAAGATTTTAAGGAAGGAAGTGAACAATGTCTGGTACTCGAGAGACCTCTGACCGAACCCACTTTTGTCCCATCATTTGCGGAGAAACGCCTTGAACCCTTTTTTCCTCTCGCTGAAAACTACTTTTTCTCTTCTTTTTTGACCCAAAAAAAAAAGAGATTTTACCTATCGAAAACGGAACAGTAAACTTTAGTATTAAAGTTATGAAAAGAAGGTGAAAAACATATAGTACATAAATAAAGTTTCACCTTTTTCAAAGTAATTTTATTTTGTCATTTATTCAAAGACAAATTGATTGCTTAACCATCACCAACCAATACAATTGCAATCAGTCCACCAACTCGGTTAAAACATCCACATTGGTAACTTTTAAAATGCGGATTTTAATTTATTGATATTATTAGATTAATATTCTAACTATTTAATTGAATTTAAATATTTCTTAGAAAATTGAAACAAGCATGTATCCTAAGAGATAAGCGTTAGTTTCTTGAGAGATTTACATTCCGAGTCACATTATGACTTTCTCTATCACAAAAAATCAATTTGTGCTACTTGAACACTTTATCTCAACTTTTCCACTTCTTTGCTAACTAAAGCCTAACTAAATACAACTTCTAGGACCCACAACCTATTCTATATATTTCATTATAATTTTTTAATTGAAACAATTTTGTTTCAATTTTGGGATAAAAGCAACGACGAAGAGAATTGCGGCAGAGACGGTGGCGTTGTCAACATCCCTACACATTGATTTCATCTCCTTCACCCTTAAGTTAAATCATTCCTCCCATTTCTATGTCTTCATCATTGGCCATGAAAGTATCACGACCAAGCTTCCTCCTTTGCAACAACTCAGCTAGGTCTCCTCCTTTCGATTCATAACCAAATCGAAACTCAATTCGCGACCATGAAACTTCTTTCTCGACACAAATTCACTGTGGTGGCCGTCGGGAATCGTCACCACTTCAGTCTTAACGTCACAGAGGAAAGCTCGAGCAACAATGGTGATTTGTCTTTGTTTTGCACATTTGGTCCTCTAATGTTTTAGTTATTCTTAGCTTGACCCCAAACTTTCAAAATTGCATATAAATCCTCGTGAATTAAACTCAAACTTCTAAATATGAATTCCAGCCCTTCTTATATACAAGACTGGTCATTCACGCTTAGGTGTTATCTCAATTTTGTTCAAAATTCATGAATTGTGTGTTTATGTTTTTGTTTTGTGAACTTGGCGAGTTGGGGATGTATGAAAATGCGGTTATTATGTTTGAGTTCATTATGTTTTGATGTGTGGTGTGTAAGTACAAAGTATTGTGGCAATGTGTATTTTTAATCGTTGGCATTTTGTTAGGTAGGATGGACGTGTACATGCTAGAATGTGTACATATGGACAAGCTTAAATGATGTTGTACACGAAAACAAGCATGAAGGACGTTGTACACATGGACAAGAATTACATTGTATCATACAAGTGGCAATATGTGTTTTGAATCGTTGGCCTTTTGTTAGGTAGAATGGACGTGTACACGCTAGACCATGTACATATGAAAAATCATGAATGATTGTTTTAGAATATCATTCATGATTTGTAATGTCCACGTTGTTGATGTCCATATGTACAACAATCTCTCGGTACAAACATATTATCATATCTATAATGGAACATGTGTACATATATATACATGTACACTTTATATGATTTTCATGTGTACATGAAAGTTATAGTGTACATGTGTACACATACAAAACACATAAGAAAGTTGTGTAAATGAGTCTCTAACATGGTATTAAGATGAGCATGTACATGATGGACCTTGTACATATGGACAATCATGAATGACGATGTACACACGGACAAACATGAATGACGTTGTACACATGAACACAAAGTGAACACATATGCAAATTAAAAGTTTGGCGGACCAGATGTGAAAATTAAAAGTTTCAGACAAATTGGAGAATAATCGAGATTGGAGGACCAGATGTGCAAATTATTAAAAGTTCACCATTGTTGCTCCACTGAAGCTTTTTCTTCGGTCTGCAACTTAACCGACAACGATTCCGGCGGACACAATTCTGGTCCAGAGCATGACGACCATGGAGAGAAGGAGACGACTTGACTTGGTGTGGATTGCACACGGACTAGAGCTCGCTGTTTGAGGTTGCCAACAACGGAGCTCTTCGGCCCCTTCATCACGCCAGTGCTAGCTTATAAGACCGTAGAGAAGGAAGAACACCTCGCTCTATGGAGTTCGCCGTGGCGGAAGATTCCGGTGAATAGTTCATCAACTTGGGACAGCTCCGACATCTATGGTACGTGATGGTGGACGGCGTCCATACATCTTCTCAACTTTGGTGACCATTCTTTTACGTCAAAGAATTTTGTTCAGATTGTTTTTAATAATAAAGAATAAAAGAAACATATGAAAGGAAATGGGGACCACCATTGTTTTGCTTTAGTTACAAAACCCAACGAAATTGTGCTAATGGTTAGGAAAAAGTGTCTGAATAGAGGAAAGTGACCCATAATGTTATTCTTAAGTGTATATGTGACCTGAGATGTAATATTCTCTAGTTTCTTTGTGAGGAAAAATATGGTTTAACTAGGTATTTTTCTCGTACATGCGGGCTTAATTATATTTATATCAATTTTAAAAATCATCAAAATAAATGATTATTTGCATCCAAAAAATTTGACCTAAAACATTAAACTTTTTACATGATAAAGTTATTCACAAATTAAAAAAAAAAAATCTACTTTTTCTAATTCAAAAATTGATCTTCTAGAAAGAATATTATTAGTTTGGATATTAATACAATATAATTAAATTTATTTTTTTCAAACACATGTTTTCTTTCTTTTTGAATGATCTTTTATTTTATTATGATTAATTTATGTTTAAGGTTTAATTATAGAATATATAAAAATAAATTTAATTTAACGTGTGAATTCAGAGGTGAAAAATAACTTCACAAATATATATCATTATATTATATTATTACATTCTTTTAATTTGAAAATAATTTACGTATTATAGTTTATTTAATTTTCTATTTTCAATTTTATACAATTAAAAATTTTACTTTATGAATATTTATTTATATTTTTCTATTTTTGAATTATTGTATATTTAAATATATTTTTCGGATAACAACACAATATATATATATAGGAATTATCTTCTTTTTTAATATATATTTAGATTATGGATAATTCTTATCATTACTATTAATTTAAATCATTTATCTAATCAAATAAATATTAAATTCATTTTTATTTTTGACTGATTTATATATTTTATTCATTAAGGGTATAAACGATATTAACCACTATAACTTTTAACGTGAGAGCTCTGTTGCAAAAAATCACTTCGCAAATAATAGTATAGATTACAATTTGAATATTTGAAAATCTAGCATCATTTTCAATTTATGTGGAGATTGAAAATATGACTTAAGCTTATGGTCATATCTTGTGTGCTTCAAATGGATAACAAGATTTATTCTTGGGTTCACCATCCAATAAAATTATATTATTTTATATTTGATATCTTTTAAAAAAAAAGAAACAAAATCTTGTTAAGTTATATTATGTTTTTAAAAATAAAAAGATAAAAATAAATAATTAATAAAATGAAAATAATTATTTAAAAAAAATATTTTAACACTAAACCCTAAACTCTAATCCTAAACCGTAAACTCATATGGATATATCATAAACCTTTGGATAACTTTTATAAAAAAAAATTAAAAAGTTATTTTAACACTAAACCCTAAACTCTAATCCTAAACCCTAAACCCTTAGGTAAATCATAAATACTAAACCCTAAATTCTAATCCTAAACCCATGGATAAATCATAAACACTAAACTTTAAACTCTAATTCTAAACCCTAAACTCTTGGGTAAATTATTAACACTAAATTTCTAAAACACTATTAGATTTATCCAAAGGTTATGATTAGCTAGGGGTTTAGAGTTTAGGATTAGAGTTTAGGGTTTAGTGTTAAAATATTTCCTTTAAAAAGAATTATTTTTGTTTTCATTAATTATTATTACTTTTATTTATTTTATATTTTTATTTTTAAAAACATAATATAATTTAATAAGATTTTATTTCTTTTTTTAAATTATATCAAATATGAAATAATATAATCTTATTGAATAGTGGAGTTATTGAATAGTGGAGGTGAACCCAAGAATAAGTCGACAATTTGGGGATGTACAGCTATAATTGTGAGGAAGGACGAAAAACAGAAAGAAAAACATACAATGATTTAAGCGAAGCACGTCTCTGGACAGCCATGTAATTGTTTATAATATTTTTTAATAAAACAACAAATTTCATGAATGTTTTGTATCATTCTTCTTTGACTCGGAGCATTTTGCAGTGGTTACTATAATGACACTGATCATCATTTTGTACAAACTTATATCATCAATTACGTCTATCACCCACAGAACTTTTTGGTGCAACTAATTAAAAATATGTGATTCGTCTATCACCAAAAGATCTTTTTGGTGCAACCAATTAAATATTTGTTTCGGCCTTTAAAAAAAATATTAATATGTGTTTCATTTTCTTTCAACTGAGTCAACTTTAGATTTGTCATTTAAAACAAAAACAGCGGGTCACACATAATAATTTACCTCTTTTTTAGGTAGCAATCGAAATGTCTTCAAACCGGTTTCCGTCGGAGATTGGGTTTCCACTTCCAGATTAAGACTCTTTAGGACCGGGATAACTTGTTACCGCTCCACCTCACGTTTGTAGTTCAAGAAGGCAAGAATAGAAAGAGATTATTAGGAATTCATATCCTCACAGAGATCAGTATTTTTGAAGCAACTTTTTAGAATTCTAAGAGAAAAAAGAAGATAAATTTGTCTCTTAACTAGTTAACTCAACCCGATTCATTAACTGGCTCGTTTTTACTGCGGAGTTCCAACTTCCAAATACGCTTCAAGGACGTTCTTTGATGCTTGATGGTTGTACCTTGGTCTCGAACTTAAGCTTTTATAGATTAGATTGGAGCCATATAGGTGGACATTTTATTTTACATATGGTCTTGTCTATATAATTATTTTTGTTGTCTATATAATTATAAGTCTATATATCTATATAAACTCCCCATCAATCAGAGCGATTATGTTGTCTTGAGGCTAGTAACTCATGTTCATTCCTTTTGTCTTTTCCCGGCATCATCGGTCTACAGGCCACGGCCAGAGACTGCGTGGAAAGGAAGGTACAGGAGGAGGATTTTTGGTCTGTGAAGGGATCTTGTTTGGTCTGAAACCTTGTTGTTCTCTCTCTTATGTAGTTATAAGGACACTGACGACTGGAGGAAAAAAATGTTTTAAAGGAGAAAGAGAGGTTACCAACTTGGTAGGTGTAGATAGAGAGATGTTAATATGGGTATTTACTGTGTCAATACCAAAAAGATGAGAAAGAAAAGTTTTACATGGTTACAGTAGTACTCAGCTGAATGTTTACATTGTTTATATTATTCGTGATGTTCATTATGAACGAATGGCTAATTATTTACTTTCGTTTGGATGGATTGATTGATAACGCCGCTTGGTGCCTCTTTGACAGATATGACAAGGCAATCAAGATTCACGAAGAAATAGTACACCATTCACATGCCATTAACTCAACATCTATAATGGTTAAACAAGGTGTGTTGAGTCCACTCAGCCAGAGTGCTTATTCGTTCATTGGTGTTCTTCAATGGGTAAGAGTATTATTCTTCCTTACTTAGTCTAATATGCAATTATGTTTTGAAGGACATTGTTGTCTTTGTTGAACCTTGCTCATTACAAAGGGGAAACATTGAAGAAGCAAACACTGAAACACATGTCAAACCCGCAGTTAGGACCGGTAAATCCGATGACTTAAGATAAATCTGATTTGAATTTTGTGAAAAAAAACAATATTAAAAATTCAATATAACCCAGAAAAAATCACTAATACTCGGAACCAACTACCGGTTGAACCTCTCGTTGAACCAATAAATAATTTTTACTTAATTTTTAGTTTTTAAATATGTTTTGATTAAATTTTCTTATTTTTATTGTATTTAATATCAAGTACACTATTTTATTTTTGATTTTTAGATTCTGATAAAAATTTCATTATGCCACTTGAAGAAAATAAAGTGAACGATTGTAGAGAGAATGAAAATTAGTTGATATGATTTTGGTGTTGGATTATGTTTTATCGACAATTTATTACAACGATGTTTTACTTTTGGTTTATTTTCGGATTTGAGATATAATTTGAGTATTCACATTAGACATTTAAATATTTAATAAATTTAAATCTTGATATTTTTTATTAGATTTCATAACTTTTAAGTTCTTAACTTGTTACAAAATAAAAGTCTAAACTATGTTTTATGATATTTCCTATGTCAAACAAAAATAAAAATATAAGTTAAGTATTTTCTAAAAAAATTAAAACATAAAATATAGAGGAATTACTTGGAATGACCCAAATTGATCTTAAAATAACTATAATGACTCATATAAAATTTTAAATACTAGACCCTATTTTGTAACAAGCAAATAGACTAAAATACCCTTTTAATGTGTGCAATCCAAAAAAAAAGTTTACGAGAAAAAAAAAACATTAAACATAAAAGAGAAAATAAATTAGATTCACATAAAAGNGAATTAATTGAAGTAAACCGGGATTAAATCCGAATTTAATTTCTACTGGTTTACTAAAACCCAGAATAATTAAACAAATCTGTCACTACGTAAAATAACAAGTCGGCCACGTCGTAATGCAACAAGTCTACAGCATTTGTAAATCTGTGATAGATTTGCCTTAAGTCTACCGTAGGAAGAATAGATTTTCTATACAAATTGGTCATAACTCAACAAGTCTGCCTTTCGAAAATAAGTCGATCGCACAAATCTGTGGTTTGATACAAATCTGTAGTGTCATCCGACAGACATATTTAAGAAATCGTTTTTTTAATACAAATCAGACAAAATATAGACAAATCTGTTGTGTCATACGATAGACATTTTTAACAACTCTGTTGTACGGCAAGGGTAATTCTGACCACGAAAACATTCTAATAATTTGAAAAAAAATATGAGTCATTCTAGTAATATCACCATAAATTTGAGTCATTCTATTTTTCTTCCCTAAAATATATACATATCTAAAGTATTATTTTATGTTTTAAAAACCATTTAGGAAATACTTAACTTTATCATATTTTTATTTTCATAGCTAATATATAACTATATAATAAAATTAATTAATTTATTAACATGTGGTTCATCCGTGATCAACTCATTGACCCGGTGATCTGCGAATTTTCTGATTCGGTGTCCGAGTCAGGTTTCAAAATACTTCTAATATCTCTAGGTGTTGGTATAACCAACAAGTGACTTGATATGTTTACTAAAAGTAACTCGTCATCCTCGTTCCAAATTGTGTACATTCATTGAGCTTACTGTGTTGATATATATACTTATGTTGGATGATTCGATCGGTTTAACCATACCAAACCGATATTACATCATTCAAGGAAGTCCAGATCAAACATGTTCATTTATTAATATCATATATAATACAACTATGTAACAAAGAAGATATATCCAAACAAGAGAATTAATCAGACAAACACACGTGTAAATTTTTATTTCAAGAAACCAGAAAAAAAATCAGATACTTCTAGTGATCATGCATCCAGGCTCTCTTCCCAAACCCAATAGGACTTTGACTAGGACTAACCGGTTTACGTCGTATGTCCATTTTCGGGTTAGGACTCCTAGAACCAGGATAACCAGTTGTTGCTACTCCACCAGAACTTGACGAATCACAACCCGATCCATTAATCGAGCCGTTTTTGGTCGAAGAGTTCCAATGCGGCCCAAAAGAAGTACCTTGAAGCTTGACGGTCGTGTCTTGATCTCGAACTTTAGCCTTTGCTGATGCGGTTGGAGTCATATAGCTTGGTATATGGCTTGGGCTTTTACGTTGCTTATGGACTTGTCTATACGATCCAAAGTCTATATACTCTCGATCAGTCAGACCGATTATCCTGTCTTTGAGGCTTGTCGGAGTGGCCACGTCCATTTCCACCGTCTTCTCAGATACATCATCAGGTGTGGTGGTACCAGCCGAGGTTGCTGCGGCTGTGGGGAAAGGCGGATAGGGAGGAGGATTGTACAGTCCAGGACCAGGACTGGAACCCGGACCGGTTTGACGGCCCGTGTATGGTTGAGAAGACATCCAATGGTCAAGCCAGTTCCAACCCCATTCAGTTCTATCAGGCCCGTTGACAGAAAATCCAATTGCTTCGTCGTTATATGTGTGTTTCATTTGCCGCTTCATTATGAAAACCGTAATCATAAGGATGCAAATAATTAGATAGATTTCTAATTTCACGTATAATAATAACTTCCAAAGTTAATATTATCAAAAATGAAAAAGAGAGATGACCAACCTGGTAAGTGTATGCATAGGCAAGAGCCCTCTCTCTTTTCATCATTCCTTCACTCTTCTCTTTTTCCTGTATCTACTCAAAATATAGTTAACTAATACTTTACCAATATAGTACTAATCTCTTCTAAGAAAATATTTTGGAACATAGTACCAAAGTAAGATTTTTTCCACGTTACCTTTGCTTGAGGTTGGTACAGGCTGGTTCGGTTCACTTCGTGCAATTTCTTGGGTTTCTCTCGTTCTGTTTGGAGATTCGTAGACCCTACAATACCAAACAATTTCATCTTCACCATCATAAGCGTATATACAGTATATATCTCTATAATATTATTTGATAAGTCACTTTTTTACTTTTTAGGTGTCGCGCTCACGTTAACTCTCACGTTGGTTGATTACTATGATACCCCTAATGAATTAAAAATACAATTATATATTATTTCCTTTTTAAAAATTTCCAAATAACAATATAAAATAAAAAGGAAACATTTATAAAATTTACAAAACTATTTAAAAACGAAAATATAAGTATATATAATATGGTTTAATAAAAAAGGAAAGTTCACAAAATAGTAATAATTAATTTAAATATATTTTAAATAACATAAAATATACCTTTGAAGTAATAAAATACTTTATACCTATATCTTCTTAGATAAAAAATATCTGTATATAATGAGATTTCATAAAAAAAATTCACACAAAAATTATTGCTATTAGAAAAAGAAATATTTAAAAAAAAATTTAAACAATAAAATATATATTTTTTCAAAATAATTATTTTTGTATATATCTATCTATTTTATTAGATGATTACATAAAATAATCAATTAACATAAACTGATATATGTTTAACTGAATTTTTTTTATAATTAGTATTACTGAAATTATTTTTTAGTATATTTATTTGACTATAATATCTTACAATTACAGTAAAAATATAAATTCTATTTTACTTATATAGTATAATTTCTCAAAAACAATCACTTTTTACTGACTATTTTAAAAGATACTAAAAATAAAACTAAAAATAAATTTAATGATAAACATCTTTTGATCAAGTAACTACAATTTTTTTTAAAATATCATAATACTATATAATTTAGTGAGGTAGATATATTATATTTTAATAGTTAAAATTATCTGTTCTAAGAATAAGGATTCTGATTTACTTAACTATTTTGATTATGGTTATATTAAGTTTCACAAACATAAAAACAGAAAATAACTACAATTATTTTAAAATACCATAACACTATATAATTTAACGAGGTAGATGTATTATATTTTAATAGTTAAAGTTATATGTTTTCTTAATAAATCTTTTGATTTTTAATTTTATGTTTTTATGTTTGTGAAACTTAATATAACCATAGTCAAATATCAGAATCTTTATTTTTAAAATTATTTAAAATAAATTTCAGTTTACCATCCAAACAATCTAAAGCAAAAATTTATTTATAATTTATAAAATATTTTAACTATTGTAAATATTGGTATGTGTTCAAAATCTTCTAAAAATTCATTAGTTACTTATGTATGTAATTTAGAATCAGAAACATTAGTTTTTATTTTTTTTTCCTTCTAAGCACAAAAAATCTTAAGTTATCTATAATCTTACTAAATATACTTATATTTCTAAGATAACAACCAGCATAAATGCAAATAAGACAATTAATCAAAAATTTAATATATTTAAAATATAAAAGATAATAGTTGAATTCAGAGAAATATATAGAATTCAATATATCTAAATGATAACTAAATCGACCGTAAAAACAATAAAACAGACTAAATATAACATATCTAAAATTATATATATAATTAAAGTAATTAAATATTATAATATAAATTAGACATACAAACTATAAATTAATTTAAAAATTAAATTAAATATCAATTAGTTATTATTGTATATTTATTTTAGTATATATGTAAATCACCTAGTATATATGTAATTCGTAACAAGATATTTCAGTATATACCTATGTTCGTTTTTTCCATCCGGGATCGCCTCTCTTCTTCTTCAAACTGTTTCTTAAACCGGTCATGAGCAACTTGGAGCCTTCTCGCTCTCACTCGGCCTTGGACACGAACCAGAGCTTGCATACATTTCATGGTCATTTGTGCCTGTTTTCTTACGTGGTTGCCACGTACCAATGCTTGTAGCCTAACTAGTCCTTTTAAGGCTCGAAGTGCTCGTCTCGCCTACAATAGAGAGAAAAAAACAAAACAAATTTCATAATCTAGAACAATAACGGCTTATATTTAAAAATTACTGGTTTAATTAGTATTAGTTTACAATTACAAGTTGCAAGGAATGAGGATAATTACAACTACAAGATCCCTACGCTTCAGAGCACAATATATTTTGGATTTTTTATGAACAAGACAACTGGTTAAGGTCGATGGCAAATTATCGTGAGAGATGAAGATTATTTACTTATTACCAAATAGCCCCTGTAGTGGGATTGGATGAGAACTGCGGCGGTATCTTCCTCTGTCTGGCGGTTGTAGCCGGCTAGACGAACGACTTTGGCTGCGGCTTGTGCTGCAGCAACGGCGGCTTCAGCAGCAGCTGCCGTGGCTATAGCCACCGCCATTGCGTGTTTTCTTTCTCCAACGGTGGTTGCCGGAGTAGAAGCTGTGCTCTCGACGTCATGGGAGATTTCTGGTGAACTTTCCGCTGGGAAATTTTCAAAAGACACGACTTCTTGCGTATCATGTTGCTGCTGCCACCTGACGGCGGTATTGTTGCTAATGTTGTTTTCTCTCTGCATGTATTATAAGCAAACATGACATAACAATAATCATATGATCATTTGAAATTTTCATCTTTACAAGTTTTGTTGGCTTATGATTACGCCTTTTAAATTCGATATTTTTTTTTGTATTTTAGGTCCAAAGTCTTCAACGTTGTTACTAGAACTATTACATTTACTTCATAGTGTGCATGTGGTGACTTTCTATCAATCTATATATAAGGGAAAGAGTTTTAAAAAATCTAAAAAAAGTTGTTTAGGTCTATTCATTAGATTTAACTATTATTTTAGTTTTACCTTATATTTCTGTAACTATACATTTAATTATTCTAACTATGCTGATTTATATTTGTGTTACCGTGAAAAGTTAATGAAAATCCCTAATATCATGGATCACAATAATTATCTATATCCAATCATACCAAATGGCCACAACAAATATAAGTCTATATTGACATTCTCAAATATACGACAGCCACCGTAACTTTTACTCAATTATGAAATAAATGGAATATAAACCTATGAAAACGAACGCATTATTAATTTGCTATAACCATTTCATTACCAGTTTATATTTCAAATTAGATTCATATGGATGGATTGTAGTAAACTATGTACTCATTCATATTTTTACATATTGATCAAGTTCATATTATCAATTCTTACATCAAATCAATATATATTAACCAATATACACCTCACATCTTGAATTGACATTTCTTAATGTTAGTAAAATTAATTTTACATTTCATAAAATTTCGATATATATTTTGAAAATTCACTGATTTTAACCATTGACCGACGTGAGAAATTCAGTTTATATTATACCTAGAAAACAGAAAATGTAAGCCTTATCACATAATATTTGTACTATCAGAATATAATCATTTTAAAAATCTTCTACAGAAAATATAAGCTTTATATCATAATATTCTTTTGTTATTACGAGAATTCAAAATTATTTATTTATAAAAATAAAAACAAACACCTGCTAGGGTGTATTGATATAATTGTAATCTTAATTTATCCAAAATCCAAAACTATAACCAAACTCAAACCCAAATGTTAAAAATATATGTAATACTAAAATATATCTGAAATACACAAATATACCTAATATACATAAAATATATTGGGTACTATATGTATGCAACGGGTCTTGGATAGGATCCGAATTCGAACAGGGACATACAGGTCTACAAATACTTAATTGGTACTTTACCCTAGATCCAAAGCTGAACCCAACCTTTATTGGTACATTTACCTTAGACCCAAAGTTTTGATTCGGCTTTGGGTTGGTTTGGGTTGATTTTTTTGTTTTGATAAATTGTCTATGCTTAAGAGAAAATTACAAAAAAATGTACATACAAATTCTCAAATAAACTAATTCAAAAATTATATATATATATATATATATATTTTGAAAATTACCTTCTTCAGTGCAATACAAATTTGAAATATAATAATGTAAAAAAATTCAAAAATACTAATTCATTTCAAAATTTAGTTATAATTCAAAAATCCCGCGCTTTCGAAGCGCGGACCAAAATTAACTTCATTAAACTAACATTTTTTAGTCTTCCCTTATATCTCTCTAACTATATAAATACTTGATTATTTAAATTAACTTCATTTATTACTTTCCATAATCTATTATATAATTACTCTAACAATAAATCTCTATGATACTCTAATATATTTAATTTCTTTACATAAATTGGAAGTTGAAAAACTTAAATGTCAATTATTCAACTATGAAACTTTGATTTAATTAATTACATGCAATCAATTACTAAAATTTGATATTACATTTTTATACATGAACTAAATGATTAATCATATATATAAAAATAAAATGGGTCTAAATGGGTTGGAGATTTTAATAATATAGATGTTTATTTATTTTACAAATTCTAACAATCCATATGATATGTTTTTATTAAATTTTAAATGTAAACTATCCTACAATTTAAATATCAATAATTTGAATAGAAAATATTCGGGTAATTCATTTTTTGCCTAATTTGGTTTATAAAAAGTATTTTAGGATATTTAGTATTTATGTATTATATATAATTAATATTTTTAGGTATATAATTTATATTTAAAAATTTTAAATATCCATTTGGTTCTTGGTTCGGTTTCTATTTTTCGGTTCCAGAGATATATGATATGATCGATTATGTATGAAATTTGGTTTAATTTTTCTTTCTTTTTTTTTCAGTTTACGGTTCGGTTCACCTAGATAAATGTATCTAAATATATACATTATCTTATATAAAAATTTATTAAGAAGAATTTTTTTCATTTCGAAAATAAACTCGCGCTTTTCAAGTGCGGATCAAAATCTAGTGTTATATTATAAACCACTATAGTGATTTAATAAATGATAAATTCAAACAGAATTTATAAGTGTATAACAATATAACTCTACATTCCAGTTTTATTAAATACATATATACGGATCCAACTCAATAGTTTTATAGGCTCTAGAACAAAAAGACAATTTTGAACCTTAGATATTTAACTATAAGGTTTTAATAAACTTTTTCCTCTTAAGTTTTATGAGTAATATTTAAAAACTATAATAAAATATACATTTGAAATATTTTTAAGACTCTTTTAAATACAATATTTTAATCTTGTATTTATCTAAGTCAGGGTCTTTAGTTAATAGAATACCAAAAATCATATAATTAGACATGGGAAGAGTCACACTGTTTAGCATTTCTAATGTATAGTGTAATTCCATAATGAAGTTGTTTTCTCCAATCATATTATATTTTATAATAGAAAATAGAAAAATGAGTAAAAACAAATGTATTGCCCTTTTCGGAATAACTCTATATTACTCTATTATAAAGTCAAAATTGAATCAATATTCTGTTTTACAAAGGAAAATAAAGTTAGATTAAAAATGGTCTAAGCCTACAATGATATATATATATATAGCTGTCGAGGCAAATATCGGTCTTCAAAATACCACAATTAATTTTGAGAATCAATAAGGGGTTAGACCATTAGAGTTGAGATCCAAAATAAATAGAAAAGGACAAAGACAATCGGGCTAAACTTTAGATAGTGGTAAAAAAGGGGCCTATGCGTTAGCAATGTGAAGATATTTGCCTATCTATGGATACAAGTTGACAAACATACATATATCAATAGGTGGGGAATTAATTGGGGTGGAGTGATGGCGAGGGAACGAAGCAATGCACGTGAAATTTGGGAAAAGGAAAAAAAAGATTTATTTAGGTGTCACGAAAATCATATTTCAATACTCGTATAAGGAGAGACTCCTTAAGTAGTCCATCTCTTTCACAAGGGGACCAATCTTTTCGGCTTTTAATTCATAACCACGGTCTTTACATTTAACTTTGCTAACTCACTTGTCGAAACATTTATAAGAATATAAGATGAATGATCATATCACTACCCCCGTTTTAAGCTAGAATACATATATCTTATGGACACTCGTTAAATAGTGCAAACAAAAGAGAAAAAAGGGTCATATTGCAACAAACAAAAGTACAGAGTTGCATGTCCCTCTCTAAATAGAGCCATGTAAATGAGTTAATTTGTTTGTTTAGTATTTCAGGTTAATAAAACTGAGTAAAAAATAAAAATGAAAAAAAAAACAGTGCACTACGTACGTATGAGAATGTTTTTTTTTTCTGAACTTGCGTAACTAGAATGTTTAAGACATATCCATTTTGTTACCAAACAATAGACATATCCATTTTGTTACCAAACAATAGACATATCCATATCTTTTTTTTTTTTAACTACGTACTATATATCCATATCTAAGAGCATGTGCATTGATGGTATTTGTAAGGGGTTCACACGGATCCCAAGCAAAAAAATATTAAACTAATCTAATTTGTGTGACTCTCTGTACGGCCGCCTCTCTCTACTGATCCGATTCATCACTATTTAGCCGGCCCCATGCCACGTGGTGGTTCGCTATTGGGTAATTTAATTTAAAAAAAGAAAGAAAGATCAAACGAAAAATAAAATAGAATATTAAAAAATTCAGTTATGAACCCCAGCTATGCGCTCTAATACTATGCATATTGCTTAATTCAAGAAGAAAAAGACATTAAACCAAAATTGCTTACAATTTAAGAAATAATTACGGCCATATAAGATTAGCTTATTCTTCAAGTGATCTTCTTAAAAATTGCTTAAATTAATTAAAACGTTATAAACGTACACTTTGATTACTATTAGTTTTTCTTTCTTTTTGGATAAAATGGCTCTAATTGGTGTTTTACATTTTAGATCCCAATACTTCTAAATAACCCACAGTGTCCTAAATTTTCATAATATGTTTTAGTACATTGAGTAATGATGCTTTTATATAATGATACATGTATGAATGTGATAAATAGAGGTGTGTTTAGGTTACCTTTGAGTCTTTAGGAGAGGATCTAAAGACCTTCTTCTTCACCGTTGAGAACCACCCACCACTCCCTTTCTTCCCCATTTCCACAGAACTTTTTGATCATATAAGCTCTATTAACACTGTGCAATTATTTTGAAAATGCTTATAACTAAAGTTTCCAAAAGCAGCTTTTGAATCTGCAAATAGCGAATACAGTTCCAGAAGTAGTCAACACCAAAGCAAAAACATTGCAATATGCACGCGTTTGCGTTTATACATAATGTTGACATATACCTAAACATGCATAAAAGTTAGACATATGCGTATATATAAGAATCAGGAACGTACATGTTTGTGCAAAGTGATCAAGCCATTGAAACGCTTTTTGAAGTTTAGAGAGAGAGAGGGAGAGCGAGAGATAGTGTGGGGAGAATGAGAAAGATAAGAGGTAAGGGAGAGAGGTCACATAGAGTTAAGATGGAGGAGGTGTCTCATTTCACCACCGATAATGAAATCATTAACGGAGTCACGTGGGGTTCGGTTAAACGCCGTTAAAGTATTTTTACGAAGTTCACGAGCTTCCTACTTTTGTCTTTTCTTTATACTTAGTTTTTATTTTAACGCCAATCACCTTCTTTTTTAAAAAAAAATTTTTAACGCCAGTCACCTTCTTTTTTTTTTATAATAATTTTTAACGCCAATCACATTCTTTTCTTTTGTATATATAGTCTTCTGCATTTGTAATGACCAGAAAAACAAAAATGATCAACGATCTATTTTCCCACGAGAATTATCATATAACATCAGATACCCACCAAACTATAATCTCGTGCTAGATTTCCATGAGTCAAAAGTTACAGATTTATTTATCCCTAAATCGATGGTTCAAATCTTAATTGTCCGTACACTATGATTTTTATTGGTTTATTGTTAACCATATGATTTAAACCAAATAAAAATATCAATAATCTATTTTTTATCCAAAAGGAAAAATGCTAATACATTAATAAAACTCCACACTATCACTATTAGCAAAGAAATTTTAAAGATTTTTATTCTTTGAGAGATTTTAAAATTTTATTTTTTGATAAAATTGAATTTTTGTTTGGTTTTAAAATTGTTTGGTTAACAATAAACCGCTTAAACCATTTTTATGTGTAATTAACTTTTAAACTATTAGTTCGAGGAAAAATAGATTTCAAACTATCGATTCAGAGTGAAATAAGTTTATAACTTATAATTCAGAGAGATATGACACAAGGTGATAGTTCGATGGATATCTAATGATATATGATAGTTTTTATGGAGAAATAACAAATGAAAGAAGACAATCCATCTCATTCATTATTACAAAATACATTTGACTTTTCTCAAGTTTGTAGACTTGTGGACCTAACCTAAATTATACTCATTTATTTCAATATGTTGCATATATTACATATATTATGCATATTAATAAATTTATAACAATTGCATAAATTTTCATGATTATATTTTTGCAACAAATCTAAATTAAAAAGAATTCAATAAATGTAATTAAATTTTTTAAAATTTCTAATTAATCATTATTAGTTGACAAAATATGTATTGAAATATATATATATATATATATATATATTTGAAACAATATTTTTCTAAAACATGTAATCTATAATCTTTTAGAAGTAGTAACAGAAAATTTTGGTCAAAGAAATAGTAAAATTTTAGATTGAAATTTACTATAAAAGATCAAATGACGCTATTATTATTATTATTTGAACCAAACACTGATAATATTATATTTTTCTAGATGTAAACTAAATTAGAATGACACAAAAACAAATTATGACAATGTGCAGTTGTTTTAATAACGGCGACCTAACTTCTTTTTTGCGGGCCCATGACCTACACTACCTCCAAGTTGGACCATCTTTCGCCTTCAATACACATTGAGCTTCAGTCATCCACACGAGAAGCCAAAAAATTGTATGCATCAAACAATGATAAAGATTGTTCAGTATAGCTAAACTACGAAAGATATTTTTATCTTGTTTGCAGTGAGAATTAGAAATACATGTTGTATAACAACACAAATGGATTTATTTGAGATGGTGGATTTCGAACATGGCATACTTAGCATTTTTAGCGTACCCTTCGACCATGTTTATGTGGTTATATGTTACGAAAGTTGTAAAGATAATGAAAGGTCTGTTAAAACTTAATAAAATATGAAAATCCTTAATGATATTTACTCTTTCTTTTCTTCAACATATTTTTATTGTTTCAAATTTGTGAGATACTGGATTAAGAATCTCAGGTGGAAATTAGAATCTCAAAGTAATTTTTCAGAATATATCATAATGAAATTTGTAACAATTACTCCTAAATCGAAACACTGAAAATTACTAAAATCTATGTCTTTTTTTTTGTAACACTACTAAAATCTATGTTCACCATACCATTTTGTGCATGTAAGATGTTATTTCATGTTTGTAGCTATCTATACTTGTTAAACTACCTATATCAATACCTATAACAATCCTTAGCTAAAGTCAATGTGATGATTTGGTACGTTAATATATAGGACAATCAAGAACATCCGCAACGTGAGTCTTTAGGGAGAGTCCTTAGAAAAAAAATAATTAAATAATCGGTAGACTCCATAAAAAATTAAGGATTCAATTCTTAAAATCTCTAAATAAGGATTGTTTCTTAGCGAATCCTTACACTATTTGCGGGTTCCCAAGACACGTGGCAACCGGCGAATAGTCATCTTTTTTTTTTTAAATTCGAAATATCCTTACCAAATCTGAAATACTTTTTTTTCTTAAGGACTTCTATGAGTCTCACGGTTACGGATTATCTAGAATATCATGTGAAACAAATATAATTCTTGGTTTCTACGTATTCACACTATTCAGTAACGTATGCTCATCATCTATTGGGCCTTTTTGGCTCAAATCTATTGGGCCCTTTAGTTTAAGCCTTTCCTGGATCGAATGCTAGCTTTCTTCTAATCATAAAATAATCGAATAATAAAAAGAAAAAAACAGTTGCTGACGTGTTCCTCCCAAAAAGAAAAGGAGAAATATTTGTCTTTCTTTAATTTCCAGAAGAAGACTCTCTGCAAAAAATTAAAACCTCAGTGAGAGAGACCACAGAAGAAGCCGAGATCGAGTAAGAGAGATTCTCCGCTGATAACCACCAATGTCTCCCACCGGTAAACAGGTCAGCTCATCAATTTTCAGATTTGTTCTGTCTATCTTGATTCTCTCATTTGCATGCGTCTACAGTTGGCTAAATGCAATCGCTTTCTTGTTTATTTCTTTAGTATTTTCATTAAAGGTTTCATCTTTACGAATTTGAGGATTAGGGTTTTAAGAAAGAATGGATTTTTTTTTCTGAATCAGACTTGTTGCATGATATTGTACATGTCGTTTCAGACCGCCCCTTTCGCTGTTCAAACTCCGACAACTATGATGCAGTTGGATCCAAAAGAAACAAGTTCAACAGATAATGGAGCAGGGATGTCTCAGGTAGAGTTTGCTCTGTTCAACTCCGACAGGCTTCAGTCTGATCTTGAAGGCATGGGTAATAAAATCAAACAGCATGAGGACAACTTGAAGTTTCTCAAGGCTCAGAAGAACAAGCTGGATGGATCAATCCTTGACTTGCAAGGTTCGAGATGATTCACTCATGCTTATATATAAGGGCAAGAGGGTCACAATGTGTATTTGTTTTTGCAGTTTATATGAGCAAGCTTCATCAGACAAGCACTTCTAGTAGTGAAAACAGTGATACCAATCTTCAGGGGGAAGAAGATGTCAATGAACAGATTCTTAGGCATGTAAACTCAGCTGCTGGAGTTTTAAGTTATGTTCAGTCTCATCATTACTCGCAGGCTTCTCTGTTGGATATGACAAATGGTGTAGTTGGAGTTGTAGCCAAACTGGGGAAAGTCAATGATGAAAACTTGAGCCAGTTAGTTCCATTTTTTGCTCTCACTCTCATTTCTCTTGGCTCTCTTATTCACATTGTGAATGCTTTTGTTTAAAATTGCAGGGCTTTGTCGGATTACTTAGGGACTAGGTCCATGTTGGCACTTGTATACAAGGATTACAAAAGTGTTAAGCCTTTAGAGAAATATGACAACTGAGGCAGCGTTGATAGAAACGGTGCCATTCATGGGCTTGCCTCTTCCATTGGCAGAACCATTGAAGGCCATTTCGATGTCATTTGTCTAGAAAATCTAAGGTACTAGTTCTTGTTTTGAAATCTGATGTATCAATATCGTGTTCTAATGACTTTATTTGGTGACTTCTTAGACCATATGTTGGCAAGTGCATAGCTGGTGATCCACAAAGAAGGCTTGATCTTCCGAAACCCAAAATGCCTAACGGCGAGTATCCTCCTGGTTTTCTCGGATATGCTGTGAACTTGGTACAGATAGATCCAGCTTACTTGCTTTGTGTCACGGCATATGGATATGGTCTTCGTGAGACCTTGTTTTACAGTCTTTTCTCCCATCTTCAAGTCTACAAAACGAGGGTTGATATGATTAGTGCCCTGCCATGCATAACTGATGGTGCAGTGTCTCTTGACGGAATCATCAGAAAAGCTGGGATCTTCACACTTGGAACCCGGTATGTTTCTGACAACTTGATAACCTCGAAACTTGTTTCCCTCTTTTGTTTCTCTGTTGTGTAACAAAAATGCAAGTTTCAGTGATGCGGTGGCGAACATGAGATTTACAAAGCCAAGTACTTCACAGACGAAGGACAATTATAGTGAGGCGGAGAGGAAAATGAATGAGCTGAGATGGAAGAAGGAGAAAACACTGGAGGACATGAAGCGAGCGCAAGTGCTCCGTGATCATGTTGTGTACAACTTTGGCAAGAAGAAAGAAGAGTTTGTTCGTTGCTTGGCTCAGAGTTCATACACTAATGAGGTAGTAAATCTACTTGATATCTCCTCTAGCTTATTAGTGTAGATGAATTAACCAAAAAGTCTATACTTTGAGATAATCATTGCAGCACATGATGGAATCGTATAAGAACTGTATTTTCATTTTAAAAGCGTTGGTTTTCTATGGCTAACGTTTCTCTGTGTATTTATGTGTTGTGGTGGTCCAGCAAATGAAATCTTTCAGATGAAAAGAGAGCAAGCAAAGAAGCATGGATCTCTGAGTAAAAGCAATGGCCAATGCTTCTAAAGAAAAATCATATTTTGACTTTGGTTTTGATTCATGGAAAACATCTGGCGGTTTAGTAGACTGGTTTGGTTTAGATCAGTTAGCTTTGATACTCTATGTTTAGTCATAATTTTGTTTCGGTTTGACTTGACTATGTACATATGTGATGGATATTTTTACTATCTTCAAGGCTTTCGAGTCTTACAATTACAAATTATCACAAACTGAGGCCACCTCTATGCACAATTACAACCATTGTCACAAGTTATTTACAAAATTCAATTCCTTGTGTGAATCATTATGCTACAAATCATTGTCACAAGTTATACATGCACTAGATTGTTATAGAGTGAATCAATTTGTGCTACAGACCATGTTAATAAACTTGAAACGAGAAGCAAAGCTTGCACTAATGCATTTGCCAAAACTTGGCATAGTACCAAAAGATGGATCACATAGCTTATTGTCTCAACCCAACCAATTCCCTAATTACATTAAAAATGTTAAATAATATGAAAATAAAAAAGAGACTAATCTAATTCAAGTAAACAACAATCAGCAGCACGGCGGAGCCTGACCGTTAGACCCACCTGTTTCTCCTCCTTGAGCCACGTCAACTTCTTTAACAACACCGTTATCATCCCAAGGCATCTTTACCTCTTCGCTCTTTTCCTCCTCTCCTTTTGAAGGTATTAAAGAAGCTAAGTTAAAACGTATACTCCTCTTCGCCGCTTCTGCTGCTTCCAACTCTTTCATCTTTGCCTCTGCTTTTAATCTCTCTTTCTCATCCATCAGTTTCTGCGGATCATCCTCTCTTTCTTCTTTCCTCAGCTCTTCTTTCACAAAATCTTCTATCTCCTCACTCTCACTGTTTCCTCATCCAGCATCATATCCACTATCTTAAGCATATCATCCAGTCTCCCAGCTTCACTTAGCGCCCTCATGATGAACTTGTAAGCCTCATCACCCATCTTGAGCTTGCTCAACATCATACCAAAGAAAGATATCGCATCGTCGAGCTTCCCGGCTTTAACCAGCTGATCTTGCAACCGGTAATACACCGCCAAGTTTGGTCTTAGACTGGACTCAACCATTGTTCTGAAATACGAAGCTCCTTCATCTATCTTACCTTCCTTGAAACAAGTATCCATCAACAAACCATAAGTATACTCATCAGCCTTCACTTTCTTCTCATCCATTTCACCGTAAAGCTTCTCAGCCTTTGCCAAAAATCCATTCTCACACAGCTGATTCATCAGATTGTTGAACGATAAAGTATCAGGACAACACCTAAACTCACCCATTCCCTTGAAAACCTCCATAGCTTCCTCAAACTTCCCTTCTCCACAATACCCATTAACCATCGCATTAAAACTCCCCAAATCCAAAGCCAAACGCCTTGGCGGTTTATGTTCCTTCTTCATCACATCAAACAACTTCAAAGCCTCATCAAACTTCCCATTCTCACTCAAAGCCTCCAACACATAGTTACAACCCACAGCACTCATCTTCTTCACCTTTGACTCCTCATAACACTCCATAGCTTCTTCCCCCATCCCTTTCAAGAAATACCCTTTCATCAACTGCCCATAAACAACACCATCCTCAACAAACCCACCAAGATTCTCCTTCAACTCCTCATAAAGCTTAATCACACCATCACCATCACAATCCTTCACACACTCTATCATCAAATAGCTATAAACAACGGAATCAGCAACAAAACCTCTAACACACATCTCCTCCTTAATCTCCAACGCCTTCTCAACCATCCCGTTATCAACTAGACCCTTAACAAGAATCCTAAACGTGGCGATAGAAGGATTCAAAGGCGAATTATCCACAAACAGCTTGTATGCTCCAACGCAATCTCCGGTTTCTTAACGTCCAGATAAGCTTGGAACAACAAATTGTACGTGATGATGTTCGTGGCGATCCCCGCTTGGTTGATGAATCTGTGTAACCGAAGAAAGGCTTCGTAATCACCTTGACGGAGCTGCGCTGTTAAGACGGCGTTGACGGTGAAGATCGTGGGGCGGCAGTTGGAGTAGATAGAGTGACACGTGTAGAGAGCGGCTTCTTGGAGGTCGTTGTCTTGGATTAGTTTCAGGATGTGGTTGTGGAGGTTGAGGCGTTTTCCGGTGAGGGAGGAGACGGATTCCGGGAGTTTTGGGATGTTTGGGTTTTGGATCGGTTTAGTGGTTTGAGGTTGTTGTTGTTGTTGTTGAGGGGATCTGTTGTTGAGAGGTGGTTCCATGCGGATACGACGCTTGATACGGCGTCGTTCCGCGGCGGCTTCTTCCTGCGTCGGGAATGATAAGTACCGGACGGCTGCGGAGAACGGCGGCGAGAGGGGAGGGCGGTGGGAGGAGATGGTGAGTGTTTTAAGGCGGGTTAAAAGGGAGGATTTGGAGATCCACATTGTTGTTGGAGTCGTTCTCGGTGGGAGTGGTGAAGGTGCTTGTTAGGGTTTTAGAGGGGTTTGGAGATGAAGAAGTTTGTTTGGTAACTTGGATAAGTATGTTTCTGCGTGTGAATAGATTACGTGTGATTTGGGCTTGTGGCCATTCGTATTCGAGCTTTAGTTAGGGGGCCGCAAGTCGATTATTTTTTACAGATATCCATAGTTAACTACAACTATGTTGTAAGACAGAGACCCACTACAACCACAATATAACACACCAATTTTTATTACAATTTTATTAATATTTGTTTATATTTATTTTAATTTTCAATGAACTCATGGATTTATCTGGGCCTGAGCATAAAATCCGTAACCCGAACCAAAAAATCTGATCCGAACCCGGTCCGAAATATAAAAAATATCTGAATGGATCTTGTAAGGTGGTATGAAACATATCCGAACCCGAAGTGTTATTAACCGAACCCGAATAGGTACATAATCCGAAAAAACCAAAAAACCTAAAAATATATCTGAAGAAACCGATCTGAATATCCAAACTAATATACAATATAATTATATGAAACATAATTATATACTTCAAATATTAATTTTCATATTTATTTTGATATGGTATCGAACAATAAGTATTTAAAATTTAAATAAGTATCTTAAATACTTAATTATATATAAATAAGTATATATTTCTTATGTTTTCCTTTTAAATTTTAGATTTTACTTCGGTTATATCCGAACCGATCCGATATAACCCGAACCAGAATGATATATGGTTACTTTATGGGTTCTATGATGTGATAAAAAACCGATCTGAACCCGATGTGTTATATTCGAACCCGACCCGTAATTACAAATTTACTAGAATGGGACCTATGAGGTGGTATAAAAAAGAAGCGAAATCCAAAAAACCCGACCCAAACGCCAACGGGTACCCAACGCCCAGGCCTATGATTTATCCTTAAAGTTTTTTTTATTAATAAATTTTACAATTATAAATTTTCCAAAAATAATTAACAATAGAAAATATAAGAAAATGTGTTAAGTTAAAACTATTATAAAATATAAAATACAAAACTTGTAAAAATAAATCTAATGGTGAATCATTTCTCCCCAGCAACAGCGATAAATTTGATATATGCTTACCCTATAACTATTGATTACTCTCAAATAAGAAGTTCAGCTGTAGTAATTAGAGATCGAAAGTAATTCAAGTTTTAGCAATATCCAAAGCTATTTTAATTTTTAGAAGTCCAAATCTCAACAACTTAAAAGATTATCCGTGGAAGTATTTTACCTTGTTTATATGTTTTTTGCTAGTGTTATATGCAAAGAAAAGATACTGCTAACAGCCTGAAATGGATTTTAAAAAAACTGAAATGGATTTAGGTATTGTTAAAAACCTGAATTTTTAGTTTTGAAAAACAACAATCATATTAAGAATAAAGCTAGTTACTTTGGCTTTGAGATTTTGAAAAACTTTAGAGAGTTTAAAATCTGATTGTTAAAAAACACATTTTAAAGACTTCAGAAATAAGTTAAAATCTCTAAAACCATCAAAGTTCAAATCCCAATCGGATCTTACATCTTCAAAACTCTAATATTTGAATTTTGTATTCAAAAATAAACCTTCAATATTTGATGAATCATCATTCATTGGAGAAGTTAATATAATCAACCTTCTAACCAAGACGCATTGGTCCAAATGGTAAAGAGATTTCGGCATGAGACTACCATCATCTGAATTCGGTTTAGACTGGCCACCTAACCGCACAATAAGATAACGTGTATCCGGATTTAAAAAAGGGAAAATTGCCAAATATGACTCAAAACTTGATTTGAAATGCAAAAGTAAACCCAAACTTGAATCAAATGCAAAAGTAACTTAAAAGGCTATTGAAATTACAACCAACTCCTTGTGAACAAACAAAAAACGCGAATTTTTTTTACGTTTCTAGCCCTCGTAAGTCGTCTGCCCAGACGACTTTCAAATAAGTCGTC